AGGGCACTCGACTCGCAATTTAAGGGTCGCGGGTTCGAATCCAAAAATACTCGCCCTTTCAGCCGTGGAGGCGTTTTAATGTGACGGTTAATCCCACTATTCGTTGGTAAAAGAGTTGGCGGTGGGTGGGTGATGACTAGCTGCCTTCCCTCTAGTCTTACACTGCTAAATTAGGGACGGCTAGCGCAAATAGCCCTCGTGTAACTTTGCGCGAAATTCAAACAAACAAACATCCTGTTTATTCTCATTTATTGCCCTCTTTTGTACCTACATTATTGTTGATTGCATGACTGTGTGATGGATATTTCGTCTTGGTGGTTTTCTTGAAACACGGAAGTGACACAGCCCTCATTGATAAATTTGTGAAAAAAATATATAACATTGGAAATGGCGTCAAGAAATATATCCATTAAAGTAGACCATATGAACAGTGGGTAGGGAAGACTGACATTCCTGGACAATGTCTTTGTATTTTTTGTAACAGCTGTCTGAATTATGAAAGCAGTGGTAAAACATATCCTTTGTAATCACCATTCGAAAGAGGAACGACATGTAAACTTATTCTCAGCACACCAAACCTTTCCAGGTGCCGAGTCACAGTGCCTTTAATTTCAGTGAAGAGAGCTTGCCTGAGAAAAAGCAAAGCATGAAAACGAACATTCAGACAGTCACATTAAAAATCTAGACTCCAAGCAACCAGAAAATTGATGAAAATCTTCAAGCAACCCTTCATAAAACAAGACTGTTATGTTGAATCCATTAATGAAGTCCAAAAAAGTAGTGACAGAACCATTCAACAGAAAAATATATCTACAAAGTGGTTTACTGACAGTTGTCAGATACTACTGCGAGAAGTGCACTTCATATTCTGACGCACATTTTGTTGGGAATTTACTAACCAGTTCAGTGAAGTCCAAAAGTCAAAGATAACCTCAGTTGTGGACTGGAATATGACTGTCAAATAACAACATAAGACAGGTTGCAAAAGAGAGAAGGCCATTCGACTCATCTTGTTCGTTTATCCAAGAATCTCATTAAGTTGTTCATTGAAGGATACTAGAGATTCGGCTGGGCAGTTTGTTCCAAACACCTATGACTCTTTTTTTTTAGTTTTGGTTTTAAGGCAGTAGGATAAGAAGACTCTTGCGTATAACTTGTTTTCGTTTTATTGTTTGGGTATTTCTTAAACACACTTTGCACTTTTCTATACAGTTAAAAGTTTTTTCTATTATTGAGTAAAGTGTTTGTTTTTGTATTTTTTTATGTGTATGTGTATTTATGTTTGTAGCGTATCTGTTGGAATATAAACTGCTAAAAATTTTCGATTGGCTTCGCTCGGCAGCATGCATTTTCATTCTTGGCTAATTTTGTGTTGTACCACCCTTGGTTTCAGGCTTTGCGCTAATCCATCTTAACGCATACCAGTGTCAGTATTTTACCATACCATTTTATAACCAACTAAACGTATACCATTTACAATAATAATAGTTTATTGACATTAATTTTGAAGTTTTATCCAGTTTGTTGTTTCATTATCATTCTTGGCAATGTTGCTGTTATATCCAACCTGATGTTATGTTAGTAGTGACATTGACGCTGTAATAGCTTCTATAGTGTGTGTGTGTGTGGTGGGGTGGGGGTCTTTGAACAAAATCAAAACCCCTTTATAGGATAGGAATCATGTTCTTGTTAGTATATATACTTTATAATAACACTGTAGAGTGTATCTAACTAGACATTGTATCAATCTGTAGTAATTGGATTCTGAAATCCAACTTGACGTTACATTGTCAGTGTATGGTAGCATATAGTTATATCCAACTTGACGTTACATTGTCAGTGTATGGTAGCATATAGTTATATCCAACTTGACGTTACATTGTCAGTGTATGGTAGCATAGTAGTTATATCCAACTTGACGTTACATTGTCAGTGTATGGTAGCATATAGTTATATCCAACTTGACGTTACATTGTCAGTGTATGGTAGCATATAGTTATATCCAACTTGACGTTACATTGTTAGTGTATGGTAGTATATAGTTATATCCAACTTGACGTTACATTGTCAGTGTATGGTAGCATATAGTTATATCCAACTTGACGTTACATTGTCAGTGTATGGTAGTATATAGTTATATCCAACTTGACGTTACATTGTCAGTGTATGGTACCGTGTAGTTGCAAACATAAGTTCATATCCTGACGCACATTTTGTATTTAGGAATGAAAGCTATTAAGATGATAAATAAAAAAATGCTTGTCTTTCGCAATCTTTAGTAAAAAAATAATAATAATGTTTTAGATGAGATCTAATTAATTGTAACAACTTCCCTTTGTATAATTTCGATTCAGGTAAAGTGAAAAATCGCAGAGTCCCAGTAACATCTACACCACATTTTATATGTTTAAAAATGTTTTTGTTCAAATATAAATAATGATATTATTCTGCTACATATATTGTCAAAAATGACTTTAGTCGTCTCTAAATATATTGTCAAAAATGGCTTTAGTCGTCTCTACATATATTGTCAAAAATGAGTTTAGTCGTCTCTAAATATATTGACAAAAATGGCTTTAGTCGTCTCTACATATATTGTCAAAAATGACTTTAGTCGTCTCTAAGTATATTGTCAAAATGGCTTTAGTCGTCTTTACATATATTGTCAAAAATGACTTTAGTCGTCTCTAAATATATTGACAAAAATAGCTTTAATCGTCTCTACATATATTGTCAAAAATTAGTTTAGTCGTCTCTACATATATTGTCAAAAATGGCTTTAGTCGTCTCTACATATATTGTCAAAAATGGCTTTAGTTGTCTCACAACAAAGAAGCTAGTGTAGGATATACTACGTTGTTAAAATACAAAGCTACACAATCGACTTCTGTGCTTTGGTCACGTCAGGGATCGACTCCCAAATTTTATCGTTATAAGCACTCAAACATGCCACTGAGCTTTTTTATATATTAATAATAGAAGCTCTAGTATAACTTCAGTTTAGACATTTTAGCTTAAACAAACACGTTTACGCTAATATTTCGTGTTACGTTTGTAGTAAACTGAGTATAACAACCGTTCTGTGTCAGCTAAATGACCCATTTTAAGATGTTTTTGTTCCCTCATGTGAATGTGTTTTATCAGGTTTGTATAAAAAAAGGTTTTAGATGTTTCTCTTTCTGACAATTTAACGTGATTAGGAACGGCGTCCAACAACCTATATTCTTTCTGACAATTTAACGTGATTAGGAACGTCGTCCAACAACCTATATTCTTTCTGACAATTTAACGTGATCGGGAACGTCGTCCAACAACCTGTTCTCTTTCTGACAATTTAACGTGATTAGGAACGTCGTCACACAACCTGAACTTTTATAAGTTACCTAAACGCGTGTGTTAACAAACTTGTAACATACTATTTTTGTAATATTCAAAATATCTTGTACGGACATATTACTGTTGTTTAGTGTTAATTCATCTCCAACCGAAGCACCACGTTCTATGTGTGTTACAGTCCGTAAATTGTTTAAATTTAATTGTAAAATACAGTAAGTAATATAATGCTTGTTAAGAAACAGAAATTTCATTACCAGTACTTTGTCAACGTAATTAAACAATTACTTTCTTAATATAATACTTGAAAGTTATATTGAAAGAATCTTTACACTAAAGCGCCATGAAGCAACTCCGAGATACGTAGTTCTAAAAAACGAGCTTTCTGTTTCTGTAGAGTTTTCCTTGCTTATAAATTGCTTGTATAGTAGCCTTTTAAAAACTCATAGAAATTACTTGTCCTGAATAAGGTATAATTGATGCACTACGGCCTGAAACGCAGGTAGTTTTAATTTCAGTGTATGTTTGAACAACTTTGTAGCTTTCAACGAGTCTCTCGGATCTAATAAATTTAAATAAATTTTTCATGTTGAATGTTTAAAAACAAAATAAGGACAGAAATATTTATATCCCGGATTTCATACTATAGTGAGAGAGAGTGAAAAATTACATGTGGGGGTACAAGAACCTCAATCGGCTTTTAAAAACGTTTTTCTAAACTATTTGGCGACAGAAATTTTGGGGTTTCATGAATTTGTTAATTATTGGGTACATAATAAAATACCAATCGCAGAAGAAAAAAATGGCATCAGTATTTCAATTAATCTTAGTAACCACTGCTTGTTTTTCTGTACATTAAGTGCTATAACTGGAATATAAAGTTACACTATATGTGGACCCCACCGATAATGAAAGATATAAAACAGGTCGATCATTTGAAGATTAAAATGTTGTATGTTGTACACAGATAGTGATTTTAGTGAAATCATTGTTGCGGGTAGTGGTTAAGAAACAGCGGTGACCAAGAAACTCACATATGAGCACACACACGTTAATTTATAATTACAGCACTCTGGCGATTCGACAGAATGCAACCAGACTATTTCGCCTAGTGAGTCAAACTAACGTTGAATTTATTGAAAGAAAAACATCATAAAACCGTTTCCATTTTTAGCAGCGGCATAGCGGCTCATAGAATGGGTCCGAGTTTTTTAGTTTTTTTTTCAAGTACAAACTTTTGCTCATAGCTCCGTCATCTTTTGACCGATTTGAGATCTAATTACAGTTTTGAACTTGGAAGGCCAAACTCTTCAGGAATTTCAATCTGAGGGTAGGCTAGTAGAGATTTTGATGAGTAATAAATCCGAATCGGGTATACGAGCGCCCCACGCTTGGTATTGTTGACGCACAAAAATATAGCTAATAAAAAGGGAGAAAAAAAAGTATCATAGATTAATTTACTTCAATCCTGCTTAAAAGAATTTCAAGTACCGCAGCTATTGAGGATTCCCTCTTGTTTGACTTTGGGATTTTGTATGAATAGTATAAAAAGAACATATTATATTAAATTAGTTAAAAATGGATAAACTTAATAATGTTTATGTGAGACATGAGATAATGAAAAAAAAACATTCTTTATACACTTGTGTGATTTAAATGCTTATCAGGAGTTGGCGAAATTTGCAAAGTTCATCGTTGAGAAGTTCTTCGAGTGTGCCCAGAAGAACAAGAAGGTTTTTATGGAGATGTTGTTCTGGAAAAATTCGCGTGAGGTTTACGAAATTCAAGAAGGTTACGGAAGTTTTGACAAGTAGGCGGAACGTTTTTATTACATTGTGTAATGTTAACTTGAGGTAAACTTACGCCATGTTGTTCAGTGATCATAATAATGAGTCTTTTTTAACGACATATATTTAGTGTAATATACCAGAAATTATTTATATTGTTAAATGTAATTCATTTGAGACCAATACATTTTAAGATTCTTTTTTTTTTTTTTTCTTTTGTGTGTTTAAACATTCTTATATCACATATGGCCTAGAGTTGGTTGGATAATTAAACCTTTTACTGGCGATTCTTAAAATTTAAAATAACATATCAATATTTACAGAATGTTCTATTTATTTATATCTTTATTATTAAAGTACATTTTTATTTTTAGCAGTATGTGCTACTTAGGCTAACCACTGCTTTCCGTTTTTGTAATGTTAGTCATTGTTCAGTGGATATGTGTTTAACTCAAGAAAGTGAAGCCATGTATTACAAGCTGTGACACGCTCACATCAGTAATATTGTAAATGTGTGAAGCCATGTATTACAAGCTGTGACACGCATAGTAATATTATAAATGTGTGAAGCCATGTATTACAAGCCATGACACGCTCACATTAGTAATATTATAAATGTGTGAAGCCATGTATTACAAGCCATGACACGCTCACATCAGTAATATTATAAATGTGTGAAGCCATGTATTACAAGCTGTGACACGACTACACATCAGTAAGTATTATAAATGTGTGAAGCCATGTATTACAAGTCTAGTGACACGCTACACATCAGTAATAGTATAACTATGAG